TCAGGATGGTTGAGAAAAAGCGACAGGCCCACTGTCATCGGCTACAAAATCCCACCTCAGAGAATGAGGAGGCTTACCGCAGCCTTCGCTCGGAGGTTCGGAGAGCCGTGAGGCGCTGCAAGGATGGGTGGTGGTCGCGGGTTGCTGAGGAGATGGAGTCTGCCTCAGTGGCCCGCGATCACAAATCTCTATTTAACTCTATCAAAAAGTAACCTGCAGCGCCATACCTATTACCATCATTAGGGGAAAAAACGGTGATCCAATCTCCGACCCCCAGGAACAGGTTTGCAGATTTGCTGAGCATTTCTGTGAGATCCTGGGGGAGGGGAAATCCCTCAGCCAGGAAAACATCGTGGCACAAAGTGGGGATGACCTTGCTGAGGCTGCGGTGCCTCAAATATTGGAAGAAGTCACCCCCTGTGAGTGGCTGACTGAGGTGCCATCCGTTGAGGAAGTACTGAAGGCGATCCGGAGTCTGAGACCAGGAGAGGCACCGGGTAGAGACGATCTCCCAAGCGAAATGCTGAGGGAGGGTGGCGTTTGTGCACAGACTGCCCTATATGACATCATAACAACAATTTGGACCGCTGGACGGGTTCCGCAGGATTGGAAGGATGCCCTGGTGGTCCCCCCCTCTATAAGAACGGGGACCGCACAGACTGTAACAACTACAGGGGCATCTCACTCCTCAGTGTGCCTTGAAAGGTGCTGGCAAAGATTATTCAACATCGCATTGCCAGGCACGCTGAGGAGACGCTTGCGGACCCCCAATGCGGTTTCAGGAAAGGGCGGTCCTGCACAGATTCCATATTTTCTGTCCGTCTGCTACAGCAGAGGTGTAGGGAATTCCAACAAGACCTACATCTCTGCTTTATTGACCTGGTCAAGGCCTATGATACCATCAGTAGGCCTGGGCTCTGGGATGTTCTTCGTGCTTTTGGAGTCCCTGATCCTCTGCTCACGATCATTAAGGACCTTCATGATGGTGAGCAGGCCGTGGGTAAAACTACGTGGCCGGGAGTCAGAGCCATTCCTTGTACACCTTGGGGTGCGACAGGGATGTCCTCTGGCTCCCATATTATTTAACATCTATTTTGACCACGTAGTTCGTGAAGTCTTCAATAGCTGTACCGGGGGAATCTCCATATGGTACAGATATAATGGGAGGCTGATCGATGCCCGGGTGCGGTCAAGGGATGGCTCCCTATTGCTCAATCACGTTATGTATGCGGATGATTTAGTAATAGCTGCTCATTCAGAGGAGGAGTTGGAGACGCTGCTGTTGAGACTGGAGGGTGCTACTAAGAGATGGGGCCTTACCATCATCCCCACCAAAACTAAGCACCTGCCTGGGTATTTTGTACCATCGGACACTCCACCCCCACAACTCCCAATCGGTGATGGGGCAGTTGTGGAGAAAGTGGAGAGTTTCCCATACTTGGGCAATGTGCTTATGACCGGCTCCAGTTTAACAGCAGAATTCTCACTCCGAATCAGTCGAGCGGCAATATCTTTTCATCGGTTGCGTAACGCTGTGTGGAAACTACCTGGTCTGTCGCTCCGCACTAAGCTTCAGATCTTCTTGGCCACGGTCATTCCCTCCCTTCTCTACGCTTGCGAAACATGGACCCCCCTAATGGAACATCTTCGCTGGTTAGAAACATTTAGGCTAGCCTGCCTACGATACATCCAGGGTTTGACCAGGCGGGATTGTGTGAGGAGCTCACAAATTCTTGAAAGATCTGGGCAAGGTCCCATCGGTGAGCTCCTCCGGCAGGCAAGGCTGCGTTGGCTGGGTCATGTCGCCCACATGCCCAGCCACCGCATGCCGAAACAGCTTTTGTTCGGCCGGATCGAGGGGGCTAAACGGGCGCGGCACGGGCTAGAGAAGAGATGGAGTGATGTGGTACAGGAGGACGTGGAGCTGAGTGGACTTGCCGATGACTGGTACCAGCGGTGTCAAGATCGGCCTCTGTGGAGGAGGCTCGTGAAGGACGCTATGGGCAGTTGGAGGCAGTCGCCCTCCAACAACGGAAGGCGGAGGAGCGACGCTCACAACAATGAGCGGAGCGCCGGGTGGCTAAAGCACAGCAGGTTGGCACAGTAGGGGGCACAGGTGGTGCACCAGCCAGTCATCTCAGTCAGTCGACCCGTGGCACCTGGGTCTGCCCCGTGACCTCATGCCCGCGGGCGTTCGACACTTCACGTGGCCTCAAGGTGCACATGGCCTGGCACAAGCGTCGTGGTGACGTCACCGCCACTTAGTGGCGAATGGCGGTTGTTGTTGTGTGTGTAGGTGAGTATGTGCGCTTTCCGTCGGGCCTCGGGGCATCTGGTCGTGTACAGTAGTAGCTGAGGAACGAGAAAATCCGGTCCCGTGTCTCCCCCGTGTCCCCCACACACACACAACACACGTGTCTCCCCGTGTCCCCCTCCACACACGTGTCTCCCCGTGTCCCACACACACACACACAGTCACACACACACACAGTCACACACACACAGTGTCCCACACACACACGTGTAAACTCGCGCACACTCAACTCGAGCCAACAGCGACCCGCGCAAACTTCGGCCAATACTCAGCGATTACTGTGTGTTGTGAAGGCCTTCCCTAGGTCGACTCGTCCTTAAAGGAGTACCTGGTGTGTAAACAAAGGTTCCGTGACGCCCTTAACAGGTTATCGCAAACAGACTTGCCCCAACAGCCTATGAAGGCCATACGGTGGATTTTAGTCCTCGTCTTTGAATGAATAAGGTACGGATTCCTGTGCAGTGTCGTAACGAGGTTTGGCAGCAGAGGTTTCACGTCGGTTTTAGTCGAGCGGCATTGTCATCAGCTGCGTAACGCTGTGTGGAAGCTACCTGGGTTCATCACTCCACACGAAGCTTCGGGTTTTCTCGGTCACCGCTAAGCCCTCCCCCTTCTGGATGCTTGCGAAACGTGGAATATCTGCGGCGGTTTAAACATCCAGACGGGCCCTGCCTACGATCCATCCTGTGTTTAACCAGACTGCTTGCGTGGGGAGCTAAAAAAAATCCTTAAAAGATCTGGACAGTCACAGCGGTGAGCTCCTCCGGTAAGCGAGGCTGCGTTGGCTGGGTCATGGAGCCCGCATGCCCAGCCACCGCGTGCATGCCCAGCCACCGCGTGCATGCCCAGCCACCGCGTGCATGCCCAGCCACCGCGTGCATGCCCAGCCACCGCGTGCATGCCCAGCCACCGCGTGCATGCCCAGCCACCGCGTGCATGCCCAGCCACCGCGTGCATGCCCAGCCACCGCGTGCATGCCCAGCCACCGCGTGCATGCCCAGCCACCGCGTGCATGCCCAGCCACCGCGTGCATGCCCAGCCACCGCGTGCATGCCCAGCCACCGCGTGCATGCCCAGCCACCGCGTGCATGCCCAGCCACCGCGTGCATGCCCAGCCACCGCGTGCATGCCCAGCCACCGCAGCTTCTGTTTGGCCGGATCGAGGGGGCTAAACCGGCGCGGCACCGGCTGGAGAAGAGATGGAGCGATGTGGTACGAGAGGACGTGGAACTGAGTGAACTTGCCGATGACTGGTACCAGCGGTGTTAAGATAGGCCTCTGTGGAAGAGGAGGTTCCTAAAGGACGCTGCTGGGGAGTTAGAGGCAGTCGCCCTCCAGCAACAACGAAGGGCGGAGGAGCAACGCTCACAACAAAGAGCGGAGCTCCGGGCGACTAAAACGCAACAAGGTGGCACGGTAGGAAGCGCAGTTGTTGCATCTGCCCGTCATCTCAGTCAGTCAACCTGTACCACCTGCAACTGTCCCGTGACCTTTGAGCGAGCCTTCGACAGTTCACGTGGCCTCAAGGTGCACCTAGCCTGACACAAACGCTGTGGCGACGTCACTGCCACTTAGCGGCGAATGGCCGTTGTTGCGTGTGAGCGTGGTGCGAGTGGGGAGTCGGAAAAACCGTAGTGACAGTGATCACATAATTAACCACACCTATCACCACACCTGTGACCAACACATTTGACCATAGCAGTGACCACACCTATAATCCATCCCATGCGACGCACATACAGAGGCCGTTCAGGGGTTACGCACCAGCACGGGTTACGCACCAGCACGGGTTACGCACCAGCACGGGTTACGCACCAGCACGGGTTACGCACCAGCACGGGTTACGCACCAGCACGGGTTACGCACCAGCACGGGTTACGCACCAGCACGGGTTACGCACCAGCACGGGTGAGGGTGTAGAGGCCTCACCCGTATTGGTGAAAGAGGGGACAGGTGAGCGAGGCGGACAGGTGAGGGAGGAGAGGCATCACCTGCACTGGTAAGAGAGGGGACAGGTGAGAGAAGCCAGGTGAGGTAGGCGAAGCCTCACCTGTACTGGTGGGAGAGGAGGCAGGTGAACGAGGGAGACAGGTGAGAGAGTTCTAGGCCTCACCTGTATTGGAGGAAGAGGAGGCAGGTGAACGAGGGGGACAGGTGAGAGAGTTCTAGGCCTCACCTGTATTGGAGGAAGAGGAGGCAGGTGAACGAGGGGGACAGGTGAGAGAGTTCTAGGCCTCACCTGTATTGGTGGGAGAGGAGGCAGGTGAACGAGGGAGACAGGTGAGAGAGTTCTAGGCCTCACCTGTACTGGAGGGAGAGGAGGCAGGTGAACGAGGGGGACAGGTGAGAGAGTTCTAGGCCTCACCTGTATTGGTGGGAGAGGAGGCAGGTGAACAAGGGAGACAGGTGAGAGAGTTCTAGGCCTCACCTGTATTGGTGGGAGAGGAGGCAGGTGAACAAGGGAGACAGGTGAGAGAGTTCTAGGCCTCACCTGTACTGGAGGGAGAGGGAGGAAGAGGAGGCAGGTGAGCGAGGGGGACAGGTGAGAGAGTTCTCAGCCTCACCTGTACTGGAGGAAGAGGAGGCAGGTGAACGCGGGAGACAGGTGAGAGAGTTCTAGGCCTCACCTGTACTGGTGGGAGAGGAGGTGAGCGAGGAGGACAGGTGAGAGAGTTCTCGGCCTCACCTGTAGAGAGAGGAGCGGAGGCTGCGTCGCCGCCTCGGAGCGAAGTGAAGTTGGCGACGCGCAGGAGGGAGGAGGGGGGTGGAGGGGTGGAGGGGGGTGGCTGTGAAAGTGGAACAGGAAGGCGGAACAGCATTCCGAGCTGCACGCCACAGCGGTCCTGAGACTAAAAGATACAAACACACAAAGACAAAGATCCCCCGTATAGCCTTAACAGACTGTAGGGACAAGTGCTTTTAGCGAGCACCTATAAAGGCCGGCACGGCACAAGAAGGGGTGGGTGGCCAACACCACGCCCGGCCGCCTTTGTCTTCCTAGTGGCGATATTTACACATCACACCAGGTACTCATTTGAGCCTGAGTCGACCTAGGGGAAGCCCAGGACCGGTTCAGATAATCGCCACTGATGTTGGCCGTGAGCGGGAATCGAACTCGGGTTGCCAGGTTTGTAGCGCAGCGCGCTAACCGCTACACTATCGCTACCCACACACACAGCCACATACACACACACAGCCACACACACACAGCCACATACGCACAGCCACACAGCCACACACACACACAGCCACGCGCACACACACAGCCACACACACACAGCCACACACACAGCCACATACGCACAGCCACACACACACAGCCACGCGCACAGCCACATACGCACAGCCACACAGCCACACACAGCCACGCGCACACACACAGCCACACACACAGCCACACACACAGCCACACACACAGCCACATACAGTCACACACAGCCACGCGCACACACACAGCCACACACACAGCCACACACAGTCACACACAGCCACGCACACACACACAGCCACACACACAGCCACATACGCACAGCCACACACACACACAGCCACGCGCACACACAGCCACACACACACACAGCCAGACCCCCAGGTGTTATGGGTTGACTGACGTGACTGAAGCACCTCAGTATGGCACTGTCCAGTAGCGCCTATCACAAGCCTCATATCCACATCCTTTACCACCGCATCAGCCCATCTCTTCTGCAGCCCGTGCCGCTCTCCTTTAGCCCCATCTATTCGGCAAAACAGAAGCTACTTGGGCATGCGGTGGCTGGGCATGCGGGGCTACGTGACCCAGCCAACACAATCTCGCCTGCCGGAGGAGCTCACTGATTGGACAGACAACGGGACACGGACACAAAGATAAACACAGACATTCACAGATGCAGACACCACACAGACTCACACAAACACACGGATGCACAGATTCCCACAGACAGACCCCACACTAAACACACAGAGATAGTCATGCACCGACTCACAGAGGCGCATGAGCCTGACAGATAAGGACACCCAGAGATTGACGGATACAGACAGCCAGCCACACACAAACTGAGACAGGGGCTAACTTACAAAGACAAATATTCCCCATATAGCCGATAAAGACTGCTGTTAGCACATACCTATTAAGGCTGGAATGGCACACGAGGGGGCAGTGTGGCCAGAACCACGCCCGGCCGCCTTTGTCTCCCCAGTGTTCATGTTTTCATACTGTTACAAGTGTTACTTTAAGACTGAGTAGACCTAGGTGAGGTTCAGGACCGGTGCAAATATTCGTCATTGATGTTGGCGGTGAGCGGGCATCGAATTCGGGTTGCTGCGTTCGTCACGTAGTGCGCTAACCACTGCACCACCGCTCCCCATGGACATAGTACATACACACGTGCTATAAGCGACTACCTGCACACGAAGAGGTGGATGGCCAGCACCACGGGCAGCTGCCTTTGTTTCCCCAGTGGCGATGTTTACACACCGCACCAGGTACTAACTTGAGGCTGAGTCGACCATAGAAGAGACCAAGGACCGGTTCAAATAATCGTAGCGCAGTGCGCTAACCACTGCACCACCGCTCCCCACGTACATGGTACACACACGCACGCGCGCGTACACACACACGCGTACACACACACACGCACGCGCGCGTACACACACACGCGTGTACACACACATACACGCGTGTACACACACACACACGCGCACGCGTGCACACACACACGCGCGTGTACACACACACGCGTGTACACACACACGCGCGTGTACACACACACACGCGTGTACACAGACTCGCAGACTGTCTCCCGCTCAAGTCGGGCTCCGCCTGCCTCATCGCCGCCGCGGCTCTGCCTCCCTCTGCTGTCCGCAGCTGAGCATCTCACGGCCACGCGCTCTTACGAACGCCGCGCTATAAACAGCCAATTAACGCCCGTGCCGTTACGCAACAGCTGCTGCCTGTAGGGGGGTGGGGTTGAGGGGACACCTGTCCTTTGGGGGGGGGGGGCATCAGTTCCATAAGTGGGGGGCATTGCCGAGCAGGCACATATCGCCACGTCAGCAGTCTCTCGCTGTGTTGCCGGTTCGTAAGTCGAGTTTGGCTCTGGCTTCGAGCACCGGTCAAATCTTCTTTACCGCGGGCGACCTCGCAAGCTAAGCAGATTTTTCACCTCCTTAGCACTTGGATGGGGCGCTGTCTGGGAATCCCATGTGGTGTGGGCCTGAGTGGAGAGGTGGCTGCCAGGATATGGCAGGAGAGCACTGAATTATTGAATCCACGCGTGCGGATCTTTGAGCGTCACCTCGTATGCCCGCAGCGCCGGGTTCTCTCCGGGCTCTCTCCGGAGTTCATGACTAACCAACCCAATGAAGCAGCACCCTCTTTGAAACGAGCCTTGAGACTCAATGCACCTTTAATGCGCAGATAAATGGCAGCATCGCTGACGACGCGGCGCTTGCAGTTGAGGTTGCGGGGACGTGGCGATCATGGGATTTCACGGTGACGGGTCACAAAGGACCGGACCCCCCAGAGACCCGGACCCCCCAGAGACCCGGACCCCCCAGAGACCCGGACCCCCCAGAGACCCGGGCCCCCCAGAGACCCGGGCCCCCCAGAGACCCGGGCCCCCCAGAGACCCGGACCCCCCAGAGACCCGGACCCCCCAGAGACCCGGACCCCCCAGAGACCCGGGCCCCCCAGAGACCCGGGCCCCCCAGAGACCCGGACCCCCCAGAGACCCGGGCCTCCCAGAGACCCGGGCCCCCCAGAGACCCGGACCCCCCCGAGACCCGGACCCCCCAGAGACCCGGGCCCCCCAGAGACCCGGACCCCCCAGAGACCCGGACCCCCAGAGACCCGGGCCCCCCAGGGACCCGGACCCCCCAGAGACCCGGGCCCCCCAGAGACCCGGACCCCCCAGAGACCCGGGCCCCCCAGAGACCCGGGCCCCCCAGGGACCCGGGCCCCCCAGAGACCCGGGCCCCCCAGAGACCCGGACCCCCCAGAGACCCGGACCCCCCAGAGACCCGGGCCTCCCAGAGACCCGGGCCCCCCAGAGACCCGGACCCCCCAGAGACCCGGGCCCCCCAGAGATCCGGACCCCCCAGAGACCCGGACCCCCAGAGACCCGGGCCCCCCAGGGACCCGGACCCCCCAGAGACCCGGGCCCCCCAGAGACCCGGACCCCCCAGAGACCCGGGCCCCCCAGAGACCCGGGCCCCCCAGGGACCCGGACCCCCCAGAGACCCGATCACCCAGGGTGGGTCCAGAGATGGGTTGTTGTGGAGAGAAAGAGGGGACCTGGGAAAATACCCTGGCAGACGGTGACGTGGGAAGCCAAACGGAGAGACCTCCCAGAAATCATTGCCGGAGTCATGGCACGGATTAGGCACGACCTGGCATCTTTGGTCCCGTGATTGGGAGTCTCGTTCAGACCCCCGTGGTCTCCGGGGCTCGGGGCGGTCTCTTGTGGGGAGGGGGGGGGCACCTCGCTTGTGTGACGCTCGCGTAGGGAGGGCTCACGGGATGGAGCCGCACCTTGCCGCATTAATTCTGGCCCAGGGTCGCGACGGAGCCGCACGGTGGGACACACACACAGACACACAGACACAGTGAGAACGAGAGAGAGAGATGACCTCTGAACGCACAAAGCAGCTGCGAGAAGGAGCCCGCCGGTTCGGGACCAGGGCCCGAGACGGTTTCAGCGCCAGAGTGGAGGCGGCGCTCCGTCGGCCCCGGGGCCTCCTGTGCATGGGGCTCCTCGTCGTGGGCTACGCGGGGTTCCTGGTCGTGGGGGTCGCGGTGTTCTCGGCCGTCGAGGCGCCCGAGGAGGTGCGGTCCCGGGACTTGGTGCAGGAGCATCTGGCCGTGTTTTTGCGCAACAACTCGTGCGTGAACATGGACGAGCTGCTGAACATCGCCGCGGTGAGAGAAGCCCCCCCCCCATCGAGTGGGGTTGGTTCCAGTGAGAGATGGAACCCTCGCGAGGGGTGGCGGTGGTCCCAGAGGTGATTTAAGACCTCCCCCGCGAAAGTGACCTCAGATCCTTCTGCGTGACCAGAGTCGTCAACTCCAGATGATGATGATAAGAGCGACGGTGAATCTCGGCAGTGGACACGGGGAGCCGGCGGGCGCGCGCGCTGCCCTCGCTCGTGCGTGTTTACGAGAGCGCTTGTCGAGGGCGAGATCGTCGCTCGCCGAGGAAGTGTAACAAACAATATCGGGGTTTGTTTCATAGTTGCTGAGCACACAGGCCCAAAGTCCGGCAACAAACAGCACTATCATCAACGTTGTTGTCCTCCGCACGGCACCTTCGAGATTTGCACGGTTGGCTACGTACAGTGCGAAATGAGTTCAACGTACACGCAAAGTTGTAACAGGTAAGGCGTGTAACGCGTTCCCTGTATTGAACGAGATGGTTGTTATTGATGCGATACGCGATTGGGTTGGGTGAGTGAGAGCGGATGATGGAAGTGAATTATTCCAAAGTCGAGCGGTGTCCTGGGAAGAAACACAGAGAGAGAGAGAGGGGGGGGGAGTTGACAGTGGGCACAGCGGACGCGGCTCGGAGTGAGTGCGCCCGGCTGGACCAGGTCAGCTCCGTGCCGTGGCGCGCGCCTCGCCGTCTTTATCTTTCTTTTGCATCTCGAATTGAGAGCGAGACCCACCCCCCTCCGCCCCGTGGGTCAAATGAGCATTGGAGGCATGGTGCCACGTCCCCTTTACAGGCCCGCTGAGACAAGTGGTGGGAATTTGACGTTCCTATGACGGGGCCGAGTATATCCACAGGACAACCACAAACGCGGCACTTATTTAATTGCCTCCG